TAGTGCATACTAGCATATGAATACATGGGACGCACGGGCTAAATAAATAATTAAAAATAATTTTAAAATTAAATAATAACATAAAGTTTATTTAAAAGATATGAATGAATTAAATTTTAATCATTTTATTAGAATATATATTGTAGTTGTTAATTATGTCATTAATTGTATATTCTAAGTTCACAATAACAAATAGATGTTATAATTTAATTGCTAAAGATGAAAAAAATTTATACTTATGATAAAATAAAAATAAATTTCGTTTTATACAGTTTTTAGTTTTAGTTTATTCTATGTTAAAGTTTGTCATAAAACTTAAATATACCTTTTAAAAATAAAACAATATATATATATATATTGATAAAATTGTTAAAATCGGTCAAAAAACCAACCAACTTATACAAAAATTAATTAATTATAAATTATAAATTTTATTTTATTTTAAAATTTAAACTGTCTTCAACTGAAACATGCACAACACTACAATATTAAATGAAAGCATATGTATGTGTGATTATAAAATAAAAGTTAAATAAAAGCTAGTCAATGATGATTTTCTTAATTGTTTAAAAGTTAACAATTGTTTGGGTGAAAAGTTTATTTCGAATTTAGCAATCTTAGCCATTTATCTTTAATTTGGTCAATCTTTAATTGATTTTGAATCAAATAAATTTAACAAATATATTTTAATAAAACTGCTAATATCGCAGTTAAACCAACGAATCAGTCAAACTAAAAACGATTCACCCTATCGGCTACGTCAAAAAACCAACCAACTTATACAAAAATTAATTAATTAAAACTTTTAAATTTTATTTCAAAATTTAAACTATATTAAATTGAAACATACACAACACTATAATATTAAATAGGAGTATAAGATTCACTTTATATAAGTGAAACAACTTATTTTTTCGTTCTTTTCCCGATGTGAGATTATCAAATAAATCATTGAAGTTTTATTTTTATATGGTTAAATGAAACTTTAACCAATGAAGATTTTTTTAATTATTTAAAATTAAGAAAATTAGTATGAGACTCTCACAAAGCTGCTTACAAAAAATTCTATTTTGCTTATATAATATATAAATAGATAGATAGCATTATTCAAATAATAAAGCCACAACCTGATATCATTTAATGATAATTAATTATCTAAAAAATACCGTAAACAAAAAAAATTATTTTGTTCTATATTTAATTTTATTTATTTCTTACTTTACTTTATAAAATATATAATTAATAGGACATGATTCTTATCAGAAAAAAAAAAAAACACAAAATACATGATTCTTGCACATCATTAATAATTTTTAAACTATATCTGGTTTTTAGTAAGCTGGTATATTTTCTTGCATTAAAAAAAATTGATGTATAATAGGACACGACTCTCAGCACACAAAAAAATGATTTTTTGAATATCATTGATTATATATATTTGAAATACATGACTAAATGTGTGAATTGTTTAAAAATGATTTATTTTTATTTTTATTTTTTGCATTCTTTGACAAAATGAGTTCAATAAAATAAATGGGTCAGTCAAATTGATTTGTCCAACTCACATTCAATTTAGCCTAATCCATTTAAATCAATTTAATAAATGAACAGGTTTTGATTGTCTTATTTTAATGTACAACCCATTTAAACTCGTCCAAACCTACACATTTACCACCTCTAACAAATTATGGGTATTTTTAAATATATCACCTTCACCCAAAAACAAATATATATATTACATACAAATTGAGTATTTTTATTTTTTTATCAAATTAATATTTAATCTTTTTATTAAAAACAAATTGAAATAAAGATACCAAACCAAACATAGCATTGCACCTTGTTTGGTTACCCCGAACTCACAATCCAAACAAGGGTTATTTGTGATTCGGGTCAAATGGTCCGAACTGGAACCCAAACCTGACAGCCGTTTAAGCAAATGGGTTAGTTAGGCCGTTAAGACGGTTGTGAAATTCTGGCGGGAAAACCCAATTCCTCTCTCTCTCTCTCTCTCAAGAATTTGATAAAGTTCCTCAATTCAGAGGCCTATCTGTCTCTCTCTGTAAGTTCTGTTTTCTTCAAAATGAATGATCTTATTTTGTTTTATTTCAGTCTTTTGTGATTTTTGACTTGCTCTCATAGATAAAAGGGTTCGGAAAACCAAGTACATGTTCTATGATTTCACGAAAGTGAGCTTTAATGATTTCTTGGCCTTGCAATCTCAGTCTTAGTGATTGGTTTTTTTTTTTTTTTTCCTTGCTATTTTTGTCAATTTCTTGGATAGAATCATATTCTTGATGAAGTATTTGATGGAATGATCATTCCATTCCACTCCATTCTAGTGAACCAAACACTACCCAAGGGAATTGATGTCTATTGATGTCTTTGCATTAGAGATAGGCATTGTCATTGGTTTTTAAATTTTCGAAGCTTTTTTCTCTTGAAATAATAATTATTTGGGAATGCCTTCCAAATGCATGAACCAAAAAAATAAATAAAAATGAAATGTTCCTAATATCAAATAGAATAATTTTATAAAATAAGATATCAAAATATCATGTGATATTATTTGTGTGGTACTTCCAACAAATAATGAAAAACTTTACGAGTGAGGTAATGCTGACTCACTTTAGTTAGATAGTGAGATAAGGATGACCTACCTAATATGTTTTGCAATTACTCATTTGTCAGAGTAAAAAGTAAATAATACCACATGATACTTCTAGACTTCCTAATAATTTTTCACGGATGAAAGATAAGCAGAGCTTTGTTTTGTGAGAAAGAGAAAATAAATAAATAAGGAAACCAATTAGAGAACATTTAACAGATTGTGCATAAAAGTATAGAGAACATTTAACAGATTGTGCATAAAAGTATAGCAAACTCAACAGTTAACTAGTTTTCAGTCGTTTCCATGGAAATTGTAGGTGCCATCACATTATACATATTCTTTTCGAGCCTAATGTACACAATACATAATGGGGTTTGTGATTCGGGTCAAATGGTCCGAACTGGAACCCAAACCTGACAGCCGTTTAAGCAAATGGGTTAGTTAAGCCGTTAAGACGGTTGTGAAATTCTGGCGGGAAAACCCAATTCCTCTCTCTCTCTCTCTCTCTCTCTCTCTCTCTCTCTCAAGAATTTGATAAAGTTCCTCAATTCAGAGGCCTATCTGTCTCTCTCTGTAAGTTCTGTTTTCTTCAAAATGAATGATCTTATTTTGTTTTATTTCATTCTTTTGTGATTTTTGACTTGCTCTCATAGATAAAAGGGTTCGGAAAACCAAGTATATGTTGTTCTATGATTTCCCGAAAGTGAGCTTCAATGATTTCTTGGCCTTGCAATCTCAGTCTTAGTGATTGGTTTTTTGTTTTTTTTTCCTTGCTATTTTTGTCAATTTCTTGGATAGAATCATATTCTTGATGAAGTATTTGATGGAATGATCATTCCATTCCACTCCATTCTAGTGAACCAAACACTACCCAAGGGAATTGATGTCTATTGATGTCTTTGCATTAGAGATAGGCATTGTCATTGTTTTTTAAATTTTCTAAGCTTTTTTCTCTTGAAATAATAATTATTTGAGAATGCCTTCCAAATGCATGAACGAAAAAAAATAAATAAATATGAAATGTTCCTAATATCAAATAGAATAATTTCATAAACTAAGATGTCAAAATATCATGTGATATTATTTGTGTGGTAATTCTAACAAATAATGAAAAACTTTACGAGTGAGATAATGCTGACTCACTTTTGTTAGATAATGAGATAAGGATGACCTACTTAATATGTTTTGCAATAACTCATTTGTCAGAGTAAAAAGTAAATAATACCACATGATACTTCTAGACTTCCTAATAATTTTTCACGGATGAAAGATAAGCAGAGCTTTGTTTTGTGAGAAAGAGAAAAAATAAATAAATAAGGAAACCAATTAGAGAACATTTAACAGATTGTGCATAAAAGTATAGAGAACATTTAACAGATTGTGCATAAAAGTATAGCAAACTCAACAATTAACTAGTTTTCAGTCGTTTCCGTGGAAATTTTAGGTGCCATCACAGTATACATATTCTTTTCGAGCCTAATGTACACAATACATGCTGAATATAGCGGTCTTTGACTTATTCAAAGCAATGGTATATAGTTTCAGCTTATGTTGGGATTGTGTCAACTGGTGTCATGATTTTTAGGATAGTTTGATAGTGCAGACTGTTTGTTATTTTGTTAATGGGTCTGTTGCTATTTTTCAGGTGTTGGAGTTGGTGGATAGTTCTCTATTTAAAAAGCATTGTAAAGTCCAAGTTGGTGTGGAAAAAGAATTAAAAAAATTCAGTGTTTTCTTCTTCAACCCTGTGTCTAGCATATATATTACTTTTTGTTTGAAAGTACTGCAAAAGAAACAAAAATTTTACTTATATTTCATTCACATTCCCTTCACTTTTCTTTTCATTTCACAAATCTCTTCTCAAATCCAAGATCCAAACACAACATAAATGATTGAATAAAATTATGTATATGTTAGTGCACTTGATACAGCAATTTACATTTTCAACCAGTATATTTACTTTAGTCAAGTTCAAGAATTGCTTACTGATCTAGCACTAGTTTGTCTCCATAACTTTTTTCTTGCAATGAGTAGAGCTTGTTTATAGCTGCACTTGAAATCTTTTTGCTGCATCTTTTATTTCTATGTCAACATTATTCAAAAATATTTATGGTGTGATATTGGTAGTGTTTATCAAAACTGAAAACTATAGAAAGATATTGGACTGGTTAACGGGCTATATCTGTGACTTGATGAAAGACATGTCTAAGGAATTTATTGATGAACTTGTGAGTTTCTAAATTGCCTTTGTTTTTTTTTTTTTTTTTTTTAGAAAAGTAAAAGTCGTATCAACTTTCTTGTAATGTCTTCTATGTATATTAATAGCTTTATTTGATTTAGTTCTGACCTATCTCCTTGAACTTTGTTTTTTATTGTAGGGCAGTGTTCCTGATCAAATGGGGAAGGTAGATAATTGGATTTATTATTTTTTTAATGTAATTTACAATTGTTTCATTGTTAAAATCTCCTCTGAGGCCTTGACATGCTGATGTATTGCCAGTACAAGATATTCGGGACAATTGAACTAGGAGAGACCGGTTGTATTTACAGGGCCATTAACTCTCAGACTAATCAAATGGTTATTTTGAAGCGGGAAACCTTTCTCAAGGGAAATGAAGGTGTCCCATGCTCCATAATCAGAGAAATCTCCTTTTTGAAAGAGATGGAGCATACGAACATTGTCAAGTATGTACTCCCTAAATAGTTCACGAGACAAATTGCAAATTCTATAATGTATTTTTGAATTTTCTTTGTTTATAATTTATTGGCTTTTGATGAAACTTATTAATTGATGGAATTCGGATAACAGGTTGCTAGATGTAGTGAACAAAGAGAGGTCAGTGTATCTTGTTATGGAGTATATGGACCTTAACCTGAGGAAGTACATGATGGATACTTCTCCTGATATTATGAAAAAACCGAGAATAATAAAAGTACGTGATGATTACTATCCATTTATGACCATTTTTAATCACTTACAAGTTTTAGTTGCTTCTTTGGAATAGATCCAATATATATGATCATCCATATTGTTTATGAATAAACTTGTTGGTAACCGCATTAACAATGGCATTTAGACCATGTTTGGATAGGTAAGGGATTTGGAAATGCGAGAGAAATGGATAAAAAATAAAATAAAATAAAAATATTAGCTTACATTTCATTCACATTTCCCCCATATTTTCCCTTCCACTTCCAAATTTCTATCTTAAATTGATGATCCAAACAACGCCAATATGACAGCTCATGTTATGATTCATTTTATGACTTTTTTTTGTTGTTGTTCTTGGCAGAATTTTCTGCATCAGATTCTAGAGGGTCTTGCTTATTGCCACTCTAATGAAATTCTCCATCGAGGTTTGAAACCTGAGAGTTTGCTGTTAGATCATGGTAATCAGAGCATAGTGAAGATAGCAGACTTTGGAACAGCCAGGTCAATTTTTGTTCCTGCCAGGAGACATACTGAAGGGCGCAAGGTACTAATTTTTCAGCTTTTGCCATCCAGCCTTCTTTCGATTTTAACTTTGGATAGTTGATTTTGATGATGGAGTAGAAGTTGAGCATACAAGCGATACACGTACAGAAACAGAAGATGGTTGTAACCATTAGCTTTAAAAAAAATTACAAACAAATTTTAATGTAGATGGAGGAAAATACTAAAACTTCAAATTTTGAAATCATAAATTCGAGCAGTTAGCTAGGAGCACTTTGGGCATGAAAAGTGTGTGGCATAGGCGCTTACACCAAGTGAGTCGTGTACTTCATATAATAGTAACTGAAAGCTATTTGGGCACTACACCGTAAAGGTTGTTTATTTTTTTTTTTTTCCATTCCCTTTTACAACAATTTTTATAGAAAGAAATGTATGTGTATTAATTTCAGTAGAACTGTCTTTTCTTTCAATTTTCTTCGTTGAATAGAAAAGAAAATACATGGAGTTCGCTATACAAACATTGAGAAACAATCATAGGTTTCAGTTCATGTCTTGCCAGTATACAAGAACTTTAATTCCAAAGATTTATTAGAGCATCTGAATTCGGTTTATTCCTCTAGACATATATCTACGCACATTTTAAACGTGCCCAAATGCAAAATTTATTCAAATTGTTCAAAATTCTTGATTTTATTATATGTTTAGGTGACAAGTCAATGGTACAGGGCACCTGAACTCCTACTTGGTGCCCAAAAATACACCAAGGCTGTTGATATGTGGGCTGTGGGTTGTATATTTGCTGAGATGGCGATTCAACAGCCTCTTTTTGCAGCTACAACAGAGATTGAACAACTGAACAAAATTTTCAGGTGCTATATATTTTCAAACACACACAATCTCGATGATTGTTGCCGTTTTAATGTTCTAATTACGTAGTATTTGTAATGTGAAGTATTTTGGGCAAACCATGCGAAGCAACCTGGCCTGGAGTGACTGCATTATTTCCCACTCTAGCTTCTTTTGTCGATTGTATACCTAAGGTAGTACCGGTCATTGGTGAGCTTTTTATTTTATTTTAATGTTATTCAGTTTTGAATATGAAAAATGTTTTTACGTTTGTGTCTTCTTCTGAAATGCAGGACCTGAACAAAGTATTGCCTGATCTTGAACCAGATGGAGTTGATCTTGTTTATGTAAGTTTCTTTCTCCTAACCACTATTTGAGTGAGTTTTTAAGTTCATCAGCGGATTTTTCTTTCTCCTAATAATACCCATGTTTAATTTATTCAGAGAATGCTCCGGTTGAATCCAAAAGATAGAATTACAGCTTCTGATGCACTAAATCACCAATACTTTTGAAGATGTGATTCCCAATCCTCTTCGTGATTCTCTGTCAAAAGAATGTGTGCTGCCTCTGAAGAATGTTTTGATTCACATTACCTTTGCATGCAGCACTATGTCTCTTTTCCTAAAGTTCTCTTCAATTGGAAGAAATAAACAATTTGATGTTGTTGACAGAACTACTCAGTATGTATGATTCATCCATTTTTGACCAATAAAGTACCCCCTCTTTTATCAGAATCATCCGATTTATTATTCAACTCATGATCAATGCATAGTTTAATGCAAATCTATGAGTGAGTGTACATATTTTGGAACAGAATCAATGGTGAATAGTTCAATTCCTGATTTGATTATATTTTAGGATTCAAGCAATTCTTGAAACTATTGGATTTTGACAGATTACATGAATTTTTTGGTGAAATTGTCACAGTACAACTTCCAAGATTGTTTGGTACAAAAATAACCAGTGTTATACTTCGTTTGCTGTTATTTTGCAACCCCTTCATAATTAAGCAATCTTATCTTATTTTTCATCAGATAAATATTTTTTCTCTGGGAAAAAAAAGTTTGCGACCTACTAATAATTTTGGAATTGAATGGGGTGTTCAAAGAAAAAATAAAGTTTAAATTTGGGAATAGGGTGAATTAAGAAATGGGTGTTCAACAAATTTTTTGGGGTGTATTTTAGGGGCTTCCCAAACATGGTCCTGAGATAATTATTTTAGACTCTGTTTGGATATTTTGATAAGGATTCGCGGAAAGAATAGAAAAAAGGCAGACAAAATGGAAGGGAAAAAAAAAAAATTTCCAACATCCACATAGTGACATAGAGCTAAAAATGAAGTATTTCAACATGAACATATGTGAAAGAAAACAGTGGCAAACAACATAATAAGACCAGTTAAAAAAAATAACAAATAAGAACCCTCAACCAAACCCCAATCTAACACATAGGATGAACATAAAAACTTGATTTTTTGCACCATGTTTGGTTATTACTATTCTTAGTAGTCTCTTTTCATTTTTTTTTTTATTGAGAATAGAGATGACAACGAGTCCGTTTTTTTCTCAACTATTAATTTCGTACTTTACATTTTTATTATTATTTTGACCTATCTGTTCCTATAACTCAACCCTAACCTATCAATGATCTCTCAAACATAAGGTTTGGTCAAATACAATCGGGTTGGAAAATTTGCTATCCCTAATTGGGACTAGTTTATATCCTTGCTATTGGGATCAATAGGATAAAAACCCAAGCCTCAAAATGGTTAACCAAGGGGTTAGTTAAGGCGGTTGGAGAAAACTAAATTTTGGCGGGAAAACCCAGTTCCTCTCTCTCTCTGGTTCAGTACATATTCGTTTTGATGATATTACATTTCTTTCTCTGAAATTCTCTCTCTCTCTCTCTCTCTCTCTCTCTCTGTCTCTCACACACACACACACACACACACTAGAATCTGACCTTAAAGTTCTGCAAATCAGAGACCTCTCTGTAAGTTCTGTTTTCTGCAAAACTGAATGATCATATTTTGTTTCAATTTAATATTGGGTAACTTGCTCTCAGATATTTAGGGTTCAAAACCCCAAGTATATCTGCATTCTATGATTTCACAAAACACTGACTTTGATGATCTCTTGCCCTTAGAATCTCAGATTTCGTTTGCTGATTATGGATTCATTCACTGTGGTGCTAAAATGAGTGATTATGGAGTAATTATATACATTGGATCAGATTATAGTCATATTTTGAACTTTCTTGATATCTTTGTCAATTTCTTGGATAGAACAACATTCTTGATCTAGTATTTGTGACTCTGGGATTCATTTGGTTCCCTGCATTTTCAAGATATTTAATAGTCTTTAGAGATCTGGATAAATGATAGATAAAGAGTGGATTTGGGAAGATAGTGAACAAATAGTGGAAAGGAAAAAATCATGATAAAGAAAGTGTTGGTTTGGCAACATTCCAGTTCCAAATTTTATAAGAAATATTGTTCTGGAAACAATTTACTTTTATTATCTAAAGCCCTTTTGTGGAAACAAGAAATCAAGAAATGTTAGATAAATGTGGTGTTTCTTGATACTGATGGATTTTGAAATATTTGTTAGAGATGGCTCATAACTTGTATTTTTCTCTTTCAACTTGGAATTGCTTATACTCTAGAACTACCTTCTTTCAAAAAAAAAAATTCTCTTCTTGTAATGAGTAGAGATTGTTTATAATTGTACATTTTTATTTTAAGTTGTCTACTTGGATGGTAGTGAGATTCCTTTTAACTAAAGGAATTTATGGATGAGCTTGCAAGTTGCTAAGTTGCTTATTTTTTAAAAGAGCAAAAATGTATCGACTTTCTTATTTTATTTTCCTTTTATATTAATAGCTTGGTTTGATTTTAGATGCTGATCAACTACCTGAAACTCTTTTTTTTTTCTTTTTTCTTTCTGTATCTTTGAATAATTTTCTTTGGGTTTCCTTTTATTGTAGGCAGATTGCCTGATCAAATGGAAAAGGTAAAGAATCTGACTTTTATTTTTTATTTTTTTATGTAATTTGAAATTGTTTCATTTTCAAATCCCTTCTGTGGTCTGGTCATGTTGATGAATTGCCAGTACAAGTTATTTGGGCCGATGGAACGAGGAAGTTCTATTTACCAAGCACTTGACGTTGTTACCAATGAACTTGTTTGTTTGAGGCGGGAATGTTTTCTCAATAGAGAACAAGGTGTCCCAAGCTCAGTAATCAGAGAAATCTCCTTTATGAGAGAGATGCAGCATAGGAACATCCTCAGGTATGTACTCCCTAAATAGTCCAGTTGGTCTCGGAGAGGCAAATAACAAATTATATGATGTACGTTTGAAAAATAACAATCTCCTTTACATAATACAAAGTTGGCTTCTCAAATTTGAATCATCCGCTGTTTTTTTTTTTTTTACCCTTTAGCTTTATTTTTAATATCTTGGATTTTGACGAAACATATTAATTGATGGAATTCTGGTCGCAGGCTGCTAGATGTAGTGAACAAGGAGAGATCAGTGCATCTTGTTACAGAGCATGTGGAACTTGACCTGAGGAAGTTTATGGATACTTCTCCAGAGATTGTCAAGACGCCGAGCGTAACAAAAGTATGTGATGATTACTATCCATTTATGACTATTTTCAATGGCTTACAAGTTTAGTTGTTGCTTTACAAAAAATCTAATATATGATCATCCATATTGTTTATGGATAAATTTAGAACATGAAGTTGGAAGAATCTATGGATTTAGGTAACTGCTTAAATTTTGTTATAATGCAAAGTTAGAAATGACGAAAACTGGAAACAATACAATTAATGAAATGACGAACACAATGGAATTGTTTAATGCCATGCAACAATGCAAGATGATCTAATTTTTCAAGAAAAATCTACATTGCCTAATTAATGTCATCTTAGTGTTCCTATGTTAGAATTCTATGCTAGTGTTTCTATGTAATGATTCATTTTCTTCTTCTTTTTTTTATTTTTTATTTTTTTCTTGGCAGGATTTTCTGCATCAGATTCTATGTGGTCTCGATTATTGTCATTCGCATAACATTCTCCACCGAGGTTTGAATCCTGGGAGTTTGATGTTAGATCATCGTAGTCGAAGCACAGTGAAGATAGCTGGCTTTGGATCAGCCAGGACATTTGGTGTTCCCGCTGACGCGTATACTGAAGGGGGCAAGGTACAAATTTTTGAAAAAAAATTCCCATTCTCTTTTTACAACATTATTAAGTGGGATTTGGCTTCCCTCCAGTCCGCGATTGTGGACTCGAAGGTGCTGTTGGGCTTGTGAGAGTTTATCACGGGTCTCGTTTTGATAATCTGAATCGTTCAGTGTGTAAAACTTATCGAATACTATATGTCTTTAAAAAAATTACGTTGATTGGATATTGATAGCTGTGTGATCAAATCAGTTTTATATATATATATAAAAATAGACGGTGAAAAAAAAAACGGTTGATAGAAATCTGATCCGATATTGATATTCGATCAACATTATTTTTTGTAGGCATATAGTACTCGACGAGTTCTACACATTGAACTGTTCGGATTATCGAAATGGGACCCGTAGTGGGTCCCCCACGAACCCAACAAAAGCCAATCGCTATTCTATGTTTTGGTTTGAGTTTTCTGAATTAAGTTTTTTGAAAATTGAATTTTTTATTTTTCGTGTTTTTTTGTTTTATTGAATACTTTTTAAAACTTTAAGTATTTTTTTACTTTTTTTAGATGCATCTTACTTAGATGCGTCTAAAAAGTGAAATATTTTTAAAAATTAATAAATACACAAAAATACGAAAAATACACTACATTTTTATATTTTTGGTATTTACCGAATTTTTTAAAGATTTTTTCACAAAAATTATACTTTTTAAGTGAATTTATGTTAGGTGTGTCTAAAAATTAAAAAAATTGCTTAAAATATTTTTAAAAACTCAGTAAAAACAAAAAAAAAAATACGGAAAATAAGAAAGTAGAATTTTTTGAAAAGTATTTTTAGAAAACTCAAACCAAGCAGCGACCGCAATGGTTGTGGTAATTACCGCAATCTGTTATGGCCGTTATAGCGGTGTGATGGAAATTCACATATGTAACGGCCGTTTCGGTGTTATGTAATAGCCGTAGCAGTACCGTAACGGCCATAACAACCCGCTAGATACCGTTACACATTTTTATAATATTCTGAATAGCTTCATTTTTCTAAAAACAAAAACAAAAGCTCACAAAAAAATAACAAATACTCAAGTGATCCAAACCCAAAGAAAAAATCTTATATGAAATTTTTTTTTTATAATTTATGGCACAATTTTTATTTTATAATCCTTTCATTTAATAACTGTGAAATTTTTTTATTCAGTTAGTTAATTTGTAGACATTTAAAATCAATTATTCTTAAAATTATTAACTATTGAAATAAAATGTAAAAAACTCCTTTTATAGTGATTTGAAAATATAAAATATATTGGATCATACTTAAAAATTAATCAAAATTTATTTTAAACCCCAATAAATGTGATTCTGAAAAAAAAAATATATGCATATCGGTAAATTTCTTCAAATTGTGCGAAAAATAAAATAAAAATCACGGTTTCGATTACCGCAACCGTTATGCTACGGCCTTTACACCCCGTAACCGCTATCTTGTCACCACAATCGTTACGGCGGCCTCAACCGTTTTTTTAAAACCATGCACCCATCTGAAT